GGGGGGGGGGGGGGGGGGGGGGGGGGGGGGGGATGGGGTGACACAGACAATGGGCAAACTCATCTCACCGGAGAACAAGTCACCCTCCTCTTCAAACTGAAGATCTTCAAATGCTGCAGCATTGTCAGCTGTGGATGGGAAGTCCTCTCGTTGAAAGCCCTCCAGTTTCCTGAACCATGCCCATGCAATTTTACCAACCATTGAAAAAAAAACTTAAAATAATCCTTAAACAAAAACAAGTCCGAAAACCATTAAAATAATCCTTCAGCTTCAGAAAGTTGCAACATTGCTGTGAGAGTTGGACCCAATGAAGCACGTCACTAACATCGAGTTACTTGACTCAGCATCCATGGTTAACTCAGTGTTAGAATCAGCATCCCTGGCTGTTACTCACTGTTACAGACTAAGAACTACAGTCTTCACCCGAATAGAATGCCCAGTCATTATAGCTGTATTTGGTCCAACTTCCACACCAAATACAGTGATAATGACCGGTCGTTTTATTTGTTGCGAAGATGGTACGCCGTAACTCAGTGTTACTGAGCCCATGACCTCAGTGCTCCTGTTTCGATGATTCTTCATCACTTGCAGTCATCAACTAGGTGACTTCTTAACACACATGGAAGGAGGAGAAGGAGGGGGAGGAGGAGGAGGAGGAGGGAAGAAGAAGAAGAAGAAGAAGAAGAAGAAGAAGAAGAAGAAGAAGAAGAAGAAGAAGAAGAAGAAGAAAAAGGAGGAGGAGGAGGAGGACGAGGAGGAGGACGAGGAAAGAAGAAGAAGAATATGGACACCGGCAATGGACAACGACCAAATCTACCCCTTCTTGCCAACCAATTCCCTCCCCCTTATCTCGTCCACTTGTATTCTTCAAATAATAATAACTACAAGCGAATCTGCGCCGCGGCAACAGTGGGGACCCAGAGCAGCAAAAATAAAATAAAAAAGAAAAAAGAGTCGCACGGGAGCGTCACGCGAGACCCTCTATTTCTTTAAGAAGAGTAAGGGATAAAAGGATAATAACAATGAATGGTTGAAACCAGAATCAATGTCCGAATCCCTCTTCTACTGTCAGCACAATGTGAGGTCCACCATAGCCACGGCCTCCCTATTCCTCTCCCTCTCCAAACAGGCCTAGACTTTGGCGGACTACTAAGGGCCTTGCCCTGATATTCAGAAGACAACGCAAAAGCAGCTATGTCCTTCCTCCTTCAAGCCGTCATGCCTGACTCTGTCCTGAAGCTTCTTGATGTCGTGCTACCCCAACTGGGGCCTTCCAGATGCAGCGCCTACCAAGGTGATGAAGGTGGCATCCACCATAGCCGGGTAAGTACCCCTGGCGCTCCCCTCTCCTAGTCCTCTTCTTCCTCCTCCCACCATAGCCGAGAAGGAGGCCCTGGCTCTCCTCTCCCCAGCGCTCCTCCGCTGGTCGCTCCAGCAGCATGCAGAGATGAGCATTTTTTTTTTTTAATTGGCACCTCACCCAACCCGGCCGTAATTTTTTAAGCACAGCCCACCCTCAAAGAAACAAAAAAAATCTCAAGGTGACCCAAACCACCCGAGTGTTTTTTCAAAAATTTCCCCCCACACCCAACCCGCCCGTCACCCGTAAAAAAACTTCACCCTGACCCACCCACACCCACGAGAACAGAATTACCTGCCCGCACCCCGTACCTAATTATTTTCCACCCACACCCGCTCATTCCCCATTGTCTCAGTCCTTTCAAACATTTGCATGCACCATAGCAACATCACATCCTTGGATGACGACCCAAAACTTTGAAGCATCTCTGCATGTGGAAATTCAAATCGCTCCACAAGTTTGAAATTGGCTAGTGAACCTATTTGAAGCATCTCTGCATGTGGAAATTCAAATCGCTCCACAAGTTTGAAATTGGCTAGTGAACCTAAGGCTTGCCACTTGTTGTGGTTAGGTTCGATCCCTGTTGTTTTAATGGGAGCGAACATCCCGTTGTTTGGGTCATGGTCCAGCTGCCACCAGTAGAGCGTGACACATTTTTTCAAGGAGGACCCCAAATTTCGATTTGCCACTGGCGCTGGTCTTTTTTTTTTTAGGGCCACAGCTTCTTTTCCCAGGGGCCCCAGGGTGGAAACTTTCCGTTTACTGGGCCTCCAACCTTTGAAGTCCACAGATGGACCGCAGCTGGGAAATATGTATAAGGGGGGGGGKGGGGGAGGGTTCTTATGGGTTGTCCTAGGTCTGTGGGTCGGGTGACCCAGGCCTAGCGCTCACCCGCTTGTCACCCACCCATTCGGGTGACCCTGGCCTAACATTGACCCGCCCGTCACCCACCCAGGCTTGCTCACCTAGACCCACCCTCATCCCACCCATGCCAGCTTATAAAGACCCGCACCTGACCCAATGCCTCGTGGGTGGGGTGGGTGCGGGTGGGTGTGGGTCTGGGTACCCATTGCTCATCTCTGGCAGCATGGTGCACAAATTTGCACGCAGCAGATGAGTAGGAGCACTTTGCTCCTCCAGGATATATGCCGGGCAACCAGCCTCACGGCCGGTTGCTTGGATGTGCCTCATGGCCTCCAGGCGGCACGCACCTCCTCCTGGAATCATCATTGCAGACCTGGTATCTACTCTACAGGCCCTAGACCTCCGCTACTGGACTTCTACCCCTAAAGGTACTAACGTTTTGTCTTCTTCTGCTCGGCCTACCGCTACTACCGGTACCGACACTACGCTACTTGAGTATGCTCTAAGCTACCCCTTCGACCACTTGAGTGTTTTTCCCCACTGCAACCCCAAAGTCCGGCCACAGGTAAGTACCGTCCCTGAGGGCCGCCCAAACAAGCAAGTGCCCTTGCGGGTTACACACACACTCAGGCTGACAAGCACTCAGACAGGCACGCGGACCAACAAGCATGCAAAACTCAGAAAAATGCGGGAATCTCATCAAGGCATACATTCCAGCGGTAAAACTCAGAAATCAGCTGTCTTCTAAGTCCGTGTTTCGGCAGGTCTTTACAGTTCCTTAATTGATAACTTTTTTACAGCTCTTTTAGTTCCCCACCCTCCCCCCCCAAAAAATGCCTTGTAAAAGGAAAGGTGCACATAACTCAGCACATTTGTGTTTTTTTGTCCCTTGCTTTCCGTCTTCTCCTTTGCCTTGTAAAACCTTTTTTTTTTTTTTTTTTAACTTCCTAAGGAAAAGGGCGTGGGCCCTAACCTTGAAGTCCCTGACAGGATTCAAACGGTTGATCTGTATATCAACAGTTGTATTCATGTACTATGCATCCACCAGGGCCAGGAACACCACCCCCGACCTTGTTTTCCAATTTATTTTCCCTTCTTTTTCCATTCTCCAATTTTCCTTTTTATTTCTGTTTCCCTTTTTCCTCCCTTCTTGCTTCCTTCTTGTTTCTTGTTTACCCGTTGTCCTCCGCTTTTCTTCCCTCCCAGTTGAGAACTGATTGCTGTGTGAAACTCTGCTTCTGCACCTTTTTTTACTTCTCTCTTTTTTGCACCTCAACTTCCTCAAGCTTGTATTTTCATTCTGGATAGTACCATTCTTTTCTGTAGCATCTCCTCCTCCCCTACCTCCTCCTACCTCCTTCTCCTCCCCCCCTACCTCCTCCTCCCCCTACTTCTCCTCCCCTACCTACTACACCTACCTTCTCCTCCTCCTACTACTACTACCTCCTCCTCCTCCTACCTCTCCTCCTCCTCCTACCTCTCCTCCTCCTCCCCTACCTCCTCCTCATTCACTCCCCCAATCCTCAAACTTGTCTGCAGTTCATTAGCAAATAGGAAACTTACATGCACCATTCCCGATGCATGCGCATTCACAGATCGCTATTGTTTCCCTAAATATGCGCATTCACAGATATGCATGTGTGTGCGCTATACATAGCATAATCCCTAAATACAACTCCACAAAGAGAGGGTGACTGTGACAGACTATTTTGTCAAACATCCAGCAACTCATGGGTAGGGCCCCGGTGCTCTGCCCAAGATGCGACTGACCGATGGGTAAGGATTCACCAACACCTCGCCCAAACTTAGCGTCGTTAGCAATACCCCTGAGAACAGTGGCCAGCCTTACGCAAGCCAACCCCCCTGCAATACTAACAGTGCTAACAGACTGTCGAGTCTAAACCCCTGACAATAATGGAGGCTGCATAGAGAGAGAGAGAGAGAGAGAGAGAGAGAGAGAGAGAGAGAGAGAGAGAGAGAGAGAGAGAGAGAGAGAGAGAGAGAGAGAGAGAGAGA